AAAGAAATTTAATTAAATCTGATATCTGTATTTTCATTCTGATGAGCAGTTTTTATTTTTTATTTTTATTTATAGTCGATTAAACTATCAGCAGCCTCAACAAGGAAAAATTATTATGTCCGGTGACCTAAAAATACGTCTGGAAATCCACTTAAAATTTGCGCTTTAACTGTGCTTTTTGACCGCACTTTGATTGCGCTTTGATCACGCTTTCACTACGTTTTACCTTCCACGGACACATGTATATTCGACATGTCAATATTTTATTGGACACCGAATTTATCTCTACGCTTGACGTCCGGACCTAATAATTTTCCCTCAATTAGACTCCTGCCTTCGTTCCCTCCCTATTTAACGAGACACGGCCTTCAACATCTCAAAAGCCAGAAGAGCCGGCAACACCAATATGGCGAACTCCCTCTCCATCTTCCTCACCTTCCTACTTTTTCTTCTTCTTGTTCTTCTTCCACCTTCTGCCATTAATGCCACACGCCCAGCTCCAGCCTCCACTGACACCAGCAAGAAGGAGAAAGACTGCTTCGGCGAGTTTGGCGGCAATGGCAATGGCGGCTTCGGCCGCATTACCGGCGGCGGAACTGGAGCTACCACCGGCGGGGGGAGTGGTACTGATACTTCCGGCAGTGTTCCTTCTTTTACTGACTTTGATCATAGCGGTCCAGCTGCAGCCAATGCACGTTATATTCCAGGCTTGGATGACACTTTTGTGCCCAATCCAGGATATGAGATTCCCAGATCTTCTGGTGGCGGTTCTGTTCCATGAATTTAGTCATAAAACTGCAAGAAATTCATGAAATTGAGCAGTGCAGGTGAAATTTTAATAATGCACGTATACATACTTGCAGAATTTAATGGGACGAAATGTGATTATTGTTGCTGTTTGTTTTCGCGTTTGCGTTGTTGTTGATGTGTTGTGTTGTTCAGTAATACGTGCATGGTTATGTGGGCTTTTGTCAATGTCTATTTAGAGCTACATTTCTTCAAAAGAATAAAGAATATTTCGATTCTGATCAAGTGGATATAATTCAGGGAGTTTTTATGGGATGTATTTGCTGCTCTATCATTTTTATAAAACTATTTTTATGAAAAATTATCAACGTTTCTGATGATTTATATTTCATATAAATGTTTATTTTTATACACTTATCATCATCATTATTGTAAATATTTTAATCATTTAAATAAATTTAATTAATTTAATAATATTATCATTATGATTGAAACTTGATCGAGTCTCAGCTTAACTCTAAGTGGCGCTTTCATCAATTAATTGTCCAATCTAATTCTAAAAGCTTTACAAGTACGCTAAAGACTTTTCTTAAAAAAAAGGATGTATAATAAATTACAAAAAAACACTTAAAAAGGTTTTTTTAGGACTTAGGACATTAGATTTAGGATTCTTTTAAGATGGCTACAGCTTTTTATAAAGTTGATTGTAAAATTATTATAGATAAAGTAACTTTTTTTAAAGCTGCTGTAAAAATTAATGGTAAAATAGAAATGATAAAATCAAAAAAACAAAAAAGTTGTCCCAAATAAAGCTAGCTTACTCCCTTAACAAATATTCGCCGTAAAAACTCTCTACTCCCTACCGTCTATAAGTCAAGAAATTATTACGTCCAGAGTCTGGACGTAACTTGAAAATAGGTCACGTCGTCTGTACACAGGCTATGTACAATTTGTACATAGGTTGTGTACGATTGTGCACAGCTCGAGTATAGGCGTCGTTGCTTATTTTGATTAGTGATCGGACCGGACTCAGCTCGTAATAATTTCTTTCCTATAAGGCTATGGGTTACTCGATGAACAGTTATAGATAAAAGATTGCCGGTTGGTCTGTATTTAATTGATTCGGCAGACAATACCAATGAATATACAACTGTTAATATGATTAAAAAATGCTCGGCTTCCCTTGCTTATGACCAACCAATCGAGCAATCACCAAAGGCATTTAATATGGATAATATTATAATTGCCAAATGCCAAATATTTAGGGTTTTATTTGGGCCAGTCTGAGTTTGTCTATTTTTGCCTTAGATAGCTCATTCGTCAGGCTTTTTTAGAGGAGCTTTTTTGATCTTTTTTGTGTTAGGAAAAAAATTATATATTTGAAAATGTGGTTAAAAAATGAGCTTTTAAAAGCATAAATAGAGAAATAAAAGCTTTCCCAAGCGAAGCCTCAACCAATTTCAAGAGAAATTATTCTGTGCGGACAAAGGATGGTCTGAAGATCAACCAGAACGTGTCACGTCACCCGGTAAACAGCAGTATCGAGCACCGGTGCCGAGAAAAAAAGGTGACATGGCGCGTTCGGGTTGGTCTCCGTACGTCGTTTGGTATCCACACATAATAATTTGATTCATCAAAAAAAAATCTTTTTAAAGAAGAAAATTAAAAATAAGGTGAAAAAAAAATCTTTTAAACAGATATTACTTTTTACTATCTATCTTTCTTACTATGATGCCAATCGAAATGGTCTTCCAAACAAAGCTTTAAGCTAAGGTTTCACGTTTCATTTGGTACAGCTTTTTTACTTTTTTTAAACAGCTTTTTTTGTACTAAAATTATATTTCATAAATTAGCAAGAAAGCTACCAAAAAAGCCTAAATATTACAGTGTAGGGTTACTGTTTTTTATTTTTTTTGGGCTACCGTGAGCCGTGAGGTCGTGAGGCACACGAATAAATATCATAATCAAAGCCTAATAGTTTCTCATAGATAGGGGGGCCTACAATTCCCCACAACCCACACATGCATGTTCGACCAACTAAATAACTAATATACAAAATGGAAATAATATTAAAGTTAAATAAAAAAATTAATAGATAAGCAATGGTTATATGCATGTCTTATTATTTGCGCATTAAAATATATTTTATTTCTCTTAAATATTGTTGAATATAATATATTCATCAATATTTTATAAGAGAATTGAAACAAATTCATAATATGAAAAAGAGAAAGAGAGATTAACGTTTCGTTTGGGACTACTTTCTTACTGCTTTTTAAAACACATTTCTTACTAAGGCTTCATTTGAAACGGCTTTCTTACTGCTTCTTAAAGCAGTTTTGTGGTACACAAATAATATTTTTTTTACTTAAAAGCTGATTTAAGAAACAATAAAAAAGTCATCCCAAACGAAGCCTAAATCTCAATGAATTTAATGGAGTGAAATCGATCAAACCGTTTTGATGAGAAAAGGATAAGTCAAAATAAATTATATAGAAGCAATTTAGGCTTCATTTGAGACAGTTTTTTACTACTTTCTAAAATAATTTGTTAGTGCAAAAAAATTTTAGTTTAAAAATTTCTTCTACTAAAAAACTGCTTTATAAAGCAATGAAAATTTTGACTCAAATTAAGCCTTACAGAGATTTAGGATTTGTTTGGGTTTGTAAAATTGGTGCTTAGCTATGTTGGTAATAAACAATAGCTTTTTATCACAAAAATTTTAGAAAGTATTACTAGTAGAACATGAATTTCTTGGGGTTTTGTGTGTATTGTATTTCAGAGTTCTTACTTATTCATTTAAAGTCACTTTCATAGAGAATTCAGATACATCATAAAACACTTACCATCAAAGGTTCACTTGCACTTGCCTTTCACATTTCACCATAGTTCATACCAAAATTTAAAAAATTTTCATATTCAGTTAAGGGTATTTCATTAAATAATTAATATATACAAATGCACGATTTTTAACTCTACTATCACTTATATCTCTCTTTAACCTCCAACATCTGCATAAGCAAATGAAGCTAGAATCAAAATATAATAGTATATTATAACCTCCTACACTCCCTTTCAGCAAGTGGGGTTAAAATCGCTCCTACATTACTCAAGATAGAAGGAGCTAGAACAGAGCATTTAAGGCCCTTGTAACATATCGAAATATCTTCAATATCTTCTTATGAATAATGTCAATGTAAATGCAATAGTAACTAATATATAAATTCGATGTAGTGTTTAGGTGATACATGAATTGCTAATAAAAGTAATATTGCATATTTGCATGTATAACATTATACTCATTGGACTTCTTCCATTCAATTTCTAACTTAAAGAAATATTCAACAAATGAATATTTTAAGACTATTATATAATAACTATAATTTGTTAGAAAAATCTCAATCAACTTACATACTCAGAAATTTGTGTGGGGAAAAATAACTACCGAAAGTCTAATTTCTTAGAATCAAAATATTTAAATTAAAGTGTACAATAACATACTAAAAGTTATACGGTGAAAAAGACATAAAACTAGAAAAAAATATTCATATCTTTTTTATAAAATTACTAGAATTTAAATTAGAAATAGGAGTTCAGAAGTCTATCTTATACTCTACAATATCCTGAACAGGCCCAACGAACGAATCTGAAGCTTCATCCTCCTAAACTTCTCTTATTTTTTTCTATTTCCTTTTCTTCTCTCTTCTTCTACAGCAAAGGGCTGGGATGAGGCTGATATGCAAATGGTTTAAGGTATTTTAATATTTTAAAAGACACCTATTCAACTTGGCACAGTGCTGCTGGCAAAATATTTCAGATTCTTCAAGAATTCTCCAAACATAAAGCACGGCGCCACGGCGGTGCTTTCCGATGCCGCAGTGGTGCTCCCCGGCACCGCGATGGTGCTTTCCAGCGCCACAGAGCTCCCTTAAAATCCTCTCCCAAACAAAGAGGATGCCCCATAACTATTTTTGCACATTGAATTTTTCTACCCCATTTAAATTTCTTTAGTTCTTCAAGACTATTTTAACATTACAAAACTTAAAATTGAGTGTTAAACAAGTATTAGACAAGGATTTACATAAAATTGCACTAATCAGCTGAGCTTAAATACTACAAAAGGTTGTACATCATTAGCCCTAACATAACAAATAGTGGAACAATACCAATCAATTTCATGACAATAAAAGAAGTAATTTATATCGATCGGTTCTTTTAATTGAAGTGCAATTTTCATTTTTTACCTATCTAGCAATCGAGAAGCCATTTATATATGTAATAAAGAACTGCAACGAATTGTATGTATTTACTTTTCTCAATAGCATAATTTTCACCCATTTAAAAAAAATAATCAATAACTACTAATATATACACGCAACACTCAGACGAAGAAGAATTAATATAAATAAAAAAAGAACAAGACAAATTTGGAAGTGTTGCGTTGTGGAGTATTCGCGGTAGTAGAGAAATATAAAGTTTAGCATCTTAGCGTTTTACGAAGATCTAGCATGCATACAGATAAAAAGAGATTGATGGTGCATCATTAATAGGAGACACCAAAATTTTTACATGAAAAATCCCTGAAAAGGGGAAAAATCACGGGGTCTAGCCCAGTTTGAATGAATACACTAATATTCAATTGATTACAAATGAGGCTCTTCCTTGGGGGAAGGCCTTAGCTTGATGTACATCCTATAGAGTACATTACATGGTGGGAATACAAAAAATTACAGTTGATGTGTTTGTTTGGTCGGAAGGACCGTAGTCGGCATGCGACATAAGTCGAAAGGACCGTAGTCGGCAGGCGATGGAGGTCGGAAGGACTATAGTCAGTGGGTGACATAAGTCGGAAGGATCGTAGTCGTCAGGTGACAAAGATCATAATGACTGTTGCCTGACAACAGATGTTAGAAGAACGACGTCAGGTAGAAGTCCAACGTCGGATAGAAATTTGACTAATGTCCGGCGATGGGCAGAAGTCCGGCGACGGGTAGAAGTTTGACGGAATTCCGGTGATGGGCCGAAGTCCGACGTCCGGCAGGAATCCAACGATGGGCGGAAGTCTAGCTAGCATTGTGTAGGAATCGAAACGGGCGGAAGTTCAGTGTCGAAAAGGAATCTGGCGACGGGTGCAAGTCTGGCGTTGGGTAGAAGTTGATCTGTTGATGGATAGAAGTATGGCGTCAGATAGAAGTACTGCGACGGGCAAAAGTTCGACTTCGGGTAGA